TGGACATGAGGTTTCTCTTGCAATTAAAAGCCATTACCGGCCCACCAAATGGACCTGAGGAGTAAATTTCTGACCAGTTATACACTCAAGCTGTACAGAGCCTGAGAGCTAATGGGCCAGAAAATATTACAGAGGCGGGAGAGAGAGAGACTTGTGTACCCCTAGTTTTTTTCCATACGGGCGTGTAAACATTAAGATTATGTACACTCTTGACCCCATGAACTTGTAACCCTGAGAAGGGGGTTTTCCAAAGTTGCAATATCAAATTATACACAAATACTCAAAGAGTTGTATTTCTGAGGGCCTGCTTCTGGTTCACTGCAAACAATTACTGCTTTAATGTCAGAAGTGCTTCGTCGTCCCTCGACGGCCCCTGCCGCTTCGCCTCCATTTCTGTCTCTCTTCTATTCCTGCTTATTTGCTAGTGGCCATGAATTTCTCTTCACCTTTTTTCACTCTCTCTCTCTCTTTCGCTCTGCTTTTCCACTGTGACCTATTATGGGTCTTTTAAGGCTCCACTGAGCAAAGCCAATTTACTACAAACTGGGTGTAAGGCTCACACTACTCTCATGCAAACCTGCGCGCTTGTATACGTGCACATCCGCATGCGCAAAATGCCTTCAATCGCTTTGACCTTTCCTTATCTTGCCAAGATCTCAAGTAAGCACATACACGTAGTGATAGCTATCCCCAGATTGGGTTCAGCGGACTTAAGTGTGGCTGTCAAAGTACTGGCATTTGCTTTGTTCATTACAGAGCGGTGCTGGCTGGTCCGGAGAAGGGATGAAGGGGAAAAGCGAAAGAGGGTGACAGAAAGGGTGTCCAGAGTTTACTACACCTATGTGAAATCTCACCTTTTCGCTTCTCTTTCCTTTTTTTTGTTAGACTTGAGGAGACTGGAAGTGCTGTATCTCAAAGAAGGTGAAGAATTATGGGTATTTTTTCTTAATTTCCAGTTAATGTCTTACTTTAGGCCTTGCACCCATTAACATCCTCTCTGAGCTTATATATTCACTTCACAAACTCTTTTAACTTGCCCACAAACTCCTCCTACACAATCAGGATAACCAAACTTGGCACACAGGTACATCTGAAGCGTCCACAATGGAAGAATGTGGGGACTAGAGACCAGAGAAAGTGAATTACGTTTGGAAACTACAAGCGACTACAGGCGAGTGGGCTTTTCTCAACTTCCAACCAAGCAATTAAAAGGGACATGAATAGGTAAACACATGCGTGTAAATTTGTAACATGATGAAAGGTAAATTAAAAAAATCCTCTTTTATTGGCATATATTAAAAAGGGTTAGGGTTTTAGATGAAAATGCATTTTGCTGCATGGAAACATACAATCACAACCATATTTGTCTCTTTTTTTATGTAAGCAACATCAATATTTTTCATTCGCTCCAATTTCTCTTAATCAATGTAATTAAATATATCAGTTTTCCAACAGCACAAACGGACCAGAAAATACTGTAACATGGGCGTGTACTAGTAATAAAAAAAATACAATCGATAATAAGCCTCAGTTTGGGGGGAAAAAACTCATGGACCAAATGTTGTAACCTTCCACTAGAAAGAATTATATGTGCACTTAAGGAGAAAGGAAAAAACGTGACAAGGTCGGAGACCAATTTGGAATTTTTGATCTAAAAGATTTTGTAAACTATGTGTTTGGTTTGTTATATCGTTTGAATTGATAAATACAAAATGTATCTGAGTGTGAAGATTTGGTTTGCCATGCTTGTCCCTTGACATTTTTATTTATACATGGATATGCTATGCATGTGTAAATAAGAACAGCAGTTTAGTGTTCATTTTCTTTTACCGCAGTTCTTTTCTTTTGCTTTGTTTTACAGTTCATGTTAAATATATAGAAATTTATTGGTCTTACAACACAGACATAACTGAACCGAGTACTTTGTTTGACCTTAGTAGGCCAGTCTACTATCACACACACCACAGTAGACCTTGGTTTATTTCTCTGCTATGACCTTAAACAAAGCATCTATCCGTCACAACAAGCGTGTCCATTCATACGCATTAGAAAAGCAGCAAATAGCTGGAACCAATCGTGACTGGGGCTAATCCGATTGCCTGGCACAATGGGCACTCGGTACAGACCAGATCAGTGAGCAGCCAATGGGAAAATAACATTCACAGGGAGCGACGCATTACAATTACGTAGACGCAAATTGGTCTCGGAAATGAAAAGCCTTAAAATTAACTGGTTTAAATGAGAGTCACACACACAAACTACATGGGCACTTTAACACAAACTCCTGTGTACAAGCTGCACGCAACGTCAGATCAAATCCAATTTCATGAAACTGCACTCGGGCTTCGACACACGCTCACGTCACACCCACACAAACGCGCATAGCCAGCCACTCTGGGCACAAGGACAGATAAGAGAGCACGAGGGGTCAGGAGCTCGAGGAAAAGACGCCATGAGAAACTTCCTGAACTCATCTGTCAATTATTTAAAGCAATTACAATAACGCACTCGGGCAAAAAACATAAAAACAAAAAAGATCAGTGTCATAGTTTTAATGTGACGACACCTCTTGCTTTTATGAATCAAATAGTAAATTCACAAAAGAAAAGGAATTATCAAATTAATACGTTTAATACTAATCCTCACTGACTCAATCAGATGGTTCTGACAAGACATGTCTCATTAGTCAGAATTACTGCGGAAAGACTCAGGATCTATGGGGATGCCACCATAGTCACATCAGACTTCAAGAACAGAGAAGAAAATATTTAATTTCAGAAGAACTTAAAACTAAGAATGTGAGTAACTCAAAGATTACTAAGGAAATATGAATACCGTGAGCAGCCTGTTACCACAGGAAGACCCCAGCAATATCAATCCTGATCCACTCAATACAAACAGGCCTTTGGACAGTAGAAATAGTGAATATTTGCTAGTGCAGCTGCACGAGAACACCAAGGGCTACAAGCTGAGATCATTGCTCTAATTCCTTGAAGCAGATTTACTATATAAAATGTATATTTACTTCTTGAGGGTGCAAGAAGCCTTAAATGTCACACTTTTAGGTTCAACAGACTTTTATTGAAAATAAACCATGTAACATTTTTACTGAAATTTGAAATCGCAGCTTAACTATCCGTAGATGCGACCTAAAATGAAACGTATGCTGCAAGCCGGGTTAGGTAATCAACAGAAAGGAACAAGCCTGAATAAACACACAGGCAGAAATGCAGGCAGGTGTTACCATCTACCCTCTTTCCCCCCTTTCTATAGACACACAAGCTTTGTGGCAGTCTGCAAAGGAAGGGTCTCCTGAGGCCAAGGTCACCTCCCCGCAGACCAACACAGCTCTGCTCTGGTTCCCAGATGTTCATATGCGTGCACACACAAACACACAAAGAGACCTCCTGAGCATGCTCTTGGAAGCTGAAAACAAACAAACCTAAATGGACAGACATATAGTACTGTTGCGGGCGCTAACCAGTCACACTGCGACTATTTGTTTATGTGTACACAGACTACTTGACCTGCATATAGTAACTGCTGCGTGTTTATTTGTTTGCCTGCTTAATTGCCGAGTCCTTATCTCTTTAACTACCATATCTGTCTTGCACATTTTACAGCAGTTGCACGTTTGTTTGTCGAGACCTTGTATGCGCGAGCAAACATGACCACGATAAATTCCATTAAGTATACTTGTAGGCACATGTGTATGTGTGTGTGAGTAGATGTCTCCCAGCACACATATGTGTGCACTTGTTGAATAAATGATCTATTCCTGGGTCTGTCAAGGAAATGGGGGTGGGTGGGTGGGTGGAGTAGGGGTTGAAGCAGGCCATTTGGATGCTGATCGGTACAGACGTGTGTATGTGCAAGATGGTTGTTGCTGGTGGAGGGTGGGGGCAGTGGAATCCACACCAGATCATCTATTATAATGACAGGAAGCAGGAAGTACAACCCCTTCACAGTCACATGGCTGCCAGCTGTCTTGGCAACAAGAAGAAGGAAGATAGAGAAGATGATAGGGGTTGTGTGCATGTGTGCCAGGCTGTGTGTGTGCGTGTGTGTACCAGGTATTACTCACATTGTGGGGGACTTAAATCTGTTTTCCTTATGAGAAAGCAAGTCCTCATATAAATCCCTACATTTTAAGATGACGACATGTAGTGGTTATGATTAAACCTATCTCCAGGATATTATAGTAAGACGCTGTACTATCCTCTAAAGTTGTGGCTACACAAGTATTTGTGTGCATTTGTAATGTCCTAATGGGAAATCTTCATTTTTCAAACACAAAACCCAAGTGAAATTATGCAAAAACTCAAACTGTCCTCAACCTTAATCTCAATTCAATTCCTTCTCCATTAGAATGAACTCAAATCTATAAGCCGTTCGCTTGCACCCATCGATGTTCCACAAAATCCACACTGCACTAATAAAGCTACATTTTAACCACATGGATCTGTTTAGTAGCTGCAACTCAGCACGCCAGCTCCCACTTACATGTATACATTTTCACAGGTATGCACACATACCTTCACGTTCTTCACATGTAGAACTCACACCCATTAAATGCACAAAAACACACTTTTGCACCAATTTCCTCCAAGCTAAAGCACACTGGACTTACAGCTTTCCTGATCAGGAATATTAAACTTTAATGAATAAACGTAAGAAGCACGTATTATTTCAACAGTGTCATGCAGATATGCATTTGTATGCCATATAATATACACACTGCAATTGCCCCTCATCTATCAAGTAATCTTGGGTGAATTATATCAGCCTGTTTCCACATATAACGAGAAGTCCAAAGCATGATCTGTCTTCTCCCTTTGTAACATCTATAAGCTCCATGCTTTGCAGGCTTAGACCTGGGTAACTAAATCGTTGTCACATTCAAAAACAGCAATCACTGTATTTCTCCTTTAGCGTCCAAAAAGGCTCTAAAAATGCTCACTTGTGAACACATACACACACAAACACACATAAATATTCACCTTCAGACAGGGTGCAGGTGGGTGTCTGAGTCTCCTTGCTGTAAGAGACGACCTCTTTGGGTAGGAAGTCTACTTGTGTGATCTTAGAGGCCCCCAATCTCTGCATCCTGCGCCTGGATGGCAGAGAAGACGTTCTCATTAGCTCCTGATCTACTGTGGATAAATCCAAGCTGCCGATCAAACAGGGCATCATTTTTCATTTCAAACGCCAAAGTTTCAAGTAACAAAATACATTAAACCATTAAATATTTTATTACTTAAAGTCGAGAGATTTTTCAGTATGACATGCGGTCAAAATAGGATGTTTTGCAGGTGAATTTTATAAAATGTTTTAATAGTGAACAAGAGGAGAGGAAAAAGCTGTACCCGAGCTCAGAATCAGCCTGCAGCTGCAGCACAGAGGGGTCTGTGTCCCACTGCAGTGTCCTGATGTCACCAACAGGGGGAGGGGGAGGGCAAGAGAGGACATGCATGTTTACAAACAAACACCTTATAACAAATACAAAAACACTAAAACACACGTGTCGTGCACAAACAGACATTAGCACATGAATGTGCGCACAATCTTATGCACTGACACCACTTATAATAGCCTATCACAGGAACTCCCATTGATTTTCATGCAAAAATGGCACTGGAAATAATTTAAACAGATAAAGGAGATGAAGCAGATATATTATATTTCATTAAACATCAATGTGCTCTGTTATTTTTAAGATCTCTGCTTACAAGTCGTTGTGGAAGAAAAAGATTGATTTATATCAGTGGAAAAGCTATTTGATGTCCTAGTGACTGCAGAAATATTTCTATGTACACTACATCCAGCTAAAACAAACATATATGTGTCGAGTGAATATACATCTGTAGCATGACTGACTAGAAGCCTGTACTACAAAGCAGTGGTCTCATCCAGGTAACTTCAGGTTTAATTCTGGGGGTTCAATACTGCAAACACGGTTCACTTCTTCCTGGGGTAAATCCCTGCTGCAAATCTAACCTGCTCCAGAGTTGGTTATGGTCTAAATTAGAGATCAACAGCTATGAAATCACCGCCCACTGACCAATCAGCTCTCAAGGAAACAGCGTCACCATTATGAGAAGTTCTCTCAGCAGTAAAGTCTAATGAAGTTTTTCTAAAAACATCTGAAGTCATCAGTGATCAACAGAGATTCTTAGACAATTTTATTTCTTGATTTTTTTCTTTCTTGTTGGCTGCAAACAATTTTAACAATGTTATTGTTCTGTAAGCATTATGATCCTAAATCAGGGAATTTATTTTTACTTACTGACCTATCAAATTTACAGGTAGACTAATGTTTGAATTCTGTTTTTAGATTCATTCTTTACTGTTAAACAAACTGTCTTTTAAACATTTAATGAAATATTTGATTGTAACAACTAAATCCTTTCATGTCTTAATGGCAGAGTCTGTGTTTTTGCTGGCTTTCTTTCCTGGATTCAAAAAGGCTCAACTTTATTCATAAAACAGCTCTCCTCCAGGCTTATTGAGCACTTAAAGCACCCACACATTCATACAATGCTTTTAATACTAAACCGCAGTACAGTGCATTTCCAAACAGACTCCCCCACAATGTTTCTTTATCTGTAGCAGCTGTGTTACTTTCAGTCTGCATTATGTGTTTAACATCGTCATACTTTTCTAATTGTGCAGGGTTTTTGTTTATAAAATCCATGACAGTACATTTATGCATGTTTGTGATTGGTCAGATGCGGTCACTCCTTTCATGTAAGCGTGCAGCGGAAACTCTGGGTTAACATAGCAAGTTGATAACCAGGGGCATTTGACCTTTTATCCTGATCGAAAATGTGACGGTAAGTGAATCTAGATAACAGAAAGGTATTCTGGGTATGTCGAAGTTCAGGCTCACATGGTGTTTTTATCTAAAACTAAAGGGCTGCTCTCCTGTAGTTTTTTTTCATACCTATCCTCGCCCACTGTGCAGTTATTCTAAACATATTTAGGAAAAATTCAGTGTTTCACATTCAAATTAGTGCCAAACAATACATGGAAATCATGTAACATACATACACACACACACACACACAGCACATAATTTAATGGAAAAAATAAGGGTTTGAAAATTGCTGTGGTTTGCATACATGATGACAGTGTACTTTCTATACATCATCAATATTGAATACATCCCTGAGCTCAATGCTGAGATTGGTTTTGGGGATTTAAGAGTGAAAAAGTTGCTGCAGAAACCCGAGGAGTTCTGTGGCAGCTTGGCTGAGCTCTGGCAGCCATAAAAGGATAATGCTTCCAGCCTTCACTACACTTCTTGATGATACCTTCAGGGACAGCGAGCACACCCGTTAACATTCAGCTTGCGCTACAAAGCGCCAAGTGAGAGTGGCAAGGCATTTCTTTAGCCTGACAGGCCGGCTGTTTTACAGTAACGGGGATGACACTTTAAGCAGCACTGGCAATTCTCTGAAGACTGAAATGACTTCTGTGGTTCAGCTCATGAGAGCAGAAATCTTTCACCCCAGTATTAGAGGAGACAGGTAAGCGTCAGATGAGAACACCAGCAAAGAGTGGAGGAAAGCTGAACAGAGAAGCTGGGGCACTGCACTGTTTTGATCCTATAAATCACATTGAGGACACAAAAATAAGACAACTGACAACACTGTGGGTTTAATCTCCCTATGAGGGTAACCTCAGCCAAAGAGAGGTGAGAGGGTGTGGGGGGTTGGGGTAAGGGGGTAGGGGGTGAGGGGGATTCCTGTGTTTAACATGAAAATGCTTACCTTGAGGTCTGTGCTTGGGACTTGTTTTTAGAGAAACCTGACCTAAGAAGGGACACACACATACACAGCCACAAATGGAGAGCTCAAAATGGCATGCCATCATTCAGGGTGGATTTGGGGGTAAAAAAAAAAAAAGAAAAGAAAGAAAAAAAGAAAAACAAATCATTCCAGGAATTAACACTAACTCACCAATTTGTAAAATCCAATTTGTAAAAGCTAAAAAGAGATGAAAAATCCTACATAAGGCAATTTCTGTCTAATACAAACTTTTGCATGTTCTGTAGCCCCAATTCCACCCCTGGCTGTACCAGAACATCACATCACTAATGACCCCTGAAGGCATCACTCGCACATCATCCTCACAGTCAGCTGTCGTTAAAAAGCAATGGAAAGCGCTTGATGACCACTCGTGTCTCAACAGCATTCACCAGAGCCGCCATGTGCAGAACTCGGAGAGCTCCAGCACGTGTCTGGGTGAGTAATGAATGAACAGGCGTAAAAGTAAACCCTGCAGTAGCCTGAGCATGTATGATGAACGAGCGCTGTGATTGCAGCCTGTGGAAGGGGAAATGCTTATATTTTGTCACTTACGCTCAAATGAGCCACTTTGAGACAAACATATGGTTCATGTCCATTGCTTCATACAAGAGCTAGTTTTATTGGCTCACTGTGGCTGCTTTCTAAAGGTTTTCCACTATGGTTCGTGCTTTCAACAGCTTATATCTGGATTTATTCTACAGGAAAGACATGAAAGCAAAAGCTGTAAAGTGGTCATCAAAGCACTGGATGCCATGACAAATGAAAGACACCAAATTCAAATCCTAACCTCACCACTAGGAACATTCATCCTTACCTAAACCTGTTGAGCCATTCACAAGGAAAGAAAGAAAATATGTCATATGAACCATAAACACCCACAGCCAAAAGCCTTTTAAAATTATTATCCTTTTAAGATGTTAAGTCTTCAAGAAGCCCTACATCGGTGCACAACTATACAATTTGTTGTATAGTTCTCAAAGAGAACCAAACATGTGAGGATAAAAACTTCTGTCACGGTTTTCAAGTGTCTCCCACACAAATGCACTGGTCGAAAAGAATTAAAGGAACACTTTTAAAGCACATCAGATCTCAGATTGGGGAAAAATTACGCTGGATATTTATAATGATATGGACTGAGTAATGTTAGAAACCAAAGGATGCCATTTGATGGAAATGAAAATGATAAACGCTCAAAACTCAAAGTGAAAAATGATGTGGCAGGCTAGTCCATCACCGCAGTAACTTAAAATGCTTCTCAGTTGTGTGTATTGCTCCAGCGTGCTTGCATGCATGGCTGACATTCACACCAGTGGCCTGCTGGCTGTCCTCATCCTATTCCAATTTGCACAAAGAGGCAGATACTGGTCCTGCTGATGGTTTAAGGACTTCATACGACACTGTGCAGCACTCTAGAGTAACTGCCTGACTCCTGGAATCTCCTTCATGCTCTCAAGACTGTGTTGGGACACATAGCAAATCTTCTGGCAATGCACGTATTGATGTGCCATTCTGGAGAGGTTGGACTACTTGTGCAACCTCCAGGTATCACCTCATCCTACCAGTAATGACACTGACCCTAGGCAAATGCAAAACTAGTGAAAAACAAAAGATGAGGAGGGACAAAAACACCTGTGGCCTCCACCTGTAAAACCTTTCCTGTTTTGGGAGATGTCTCATTGTTGCCCCTCTAGTGCACCTGTTGTTCATTTCATGAACACCAAAGCAACTGAAACTGGTTAACACCCCCCTCCACTACTTAACTGACACAATCAATATCCCACAAGTTTAACTGACTCTGATTAAAAAGAGTTCCTTTAATTTTTTTGAGCCGTGTGCTTAAAATGTAATTTTTGTTTGATATGAGAAGGTGAAAAATGTTTGATGAATTTGTGTTCACCCTTAGAAATGTATTGATTTGAACAAATGTGATGAACTAAGGCTTCTGGAATTACAGCTCGGCATACAGTGTTTGATTTTGGCCCACCTGCCTGCTGCTCCTCCATCGGCCGAGTCCTGGCTCCCCGTCTCACTGGGTGTGCTTACTGATTTGGAGGGGGACACAGGAGTCGGGACTGAAAAATAATAAAAAAAATTTACATTATAAGCTGCATGTCATTGACAAATAAAAAAAAAAAAAGATCTAAAACAAAAAGACTATCACTCATTATTATCTATTTATGTTCAGCAGCTTTTGAAGACACGTTATAAATAACCTAAGCTTATAATAAGCACTGGAAGTGACCCAGTTTTGAGGTGTAGGGGGTGTTATTACAATTTCAGACCACTAGAGAACAGTGATCTTCCAAAAGCTCATTTCAAGTGACCCTGAGGATTTAACCTGCTCTGATATTTGAAGATTTATCATAAAGGGAAAGCAACACTCATTTGTAAACTCAAATGGATCCAATAGAAATTGTTTGATTACTTCTGATCAATTATTTCTACCAAATTTCAGAACAGAGATAATCAAAGGGAGACAACAAATTAAACACATAGCTGGTGATTGTGTGCATCTTAGCCTGATGCATGGAGGGTTTTTGGCTGTAATAATGAAGGTTAGTGTAGTTTTTGAACAAAAAAGCTATTCTCTGGTGTAAGTGTTCTAGTAAACATTTTAGTGAAAAGAACATTTTAATATTCATTTATTACAATACTGCATACCTAGTGGAGGCTCTGGTGAGATCCCAATACTCTGCAGCAGGGCCTCAGTCTCCCTACGCTTGCGATCTAAATCTGAATCTTCTGGGGTCGCTTCTGTCTTCTGCTGGCTTTCTGTCTGCTCCGGATAAGTTAAAAAAAAAAACAAACCACCAGTTTATCCATCATAACTCAAAGAACAGCTTCACTGCTCTAACATCATAGATTAAGACATGCAGCTGCATGCACATTTTGATCCATACTTAAAACACCGACCTTGTGCACATGCATAGATGCTGTTCGTGTGTCACAGCCTGACAAAAAAATCAGTCAACCGCACACAAAAAAGGAAAACACACAAAATGAGTGACGATGGTGGGAATTTACTCACTTTTTTCCTTACCTCTTTCTTCTTCCTCTCCTCCTCCTTCCTCTTCTTCTCCTCCCTGATCTGGGCAAGGCGCTGCTTCTTGCGCTCGAGCTCAGCTTTTAGGTCGCTTTTGTCCGACATGGTCGCTTTTGTCCTGCGGGGCTTAAAGTAAGACGACCAAACAAGAATGAACTACATATGATTCTATTAAGCATTGATTTAGAAAATCTCCAGTGTGGCAGCTATAAATCTGTATGAGACAATGAATTTTAAAAAAAGTTTTGACGTATTTTTAAGTTCAAAACTGGATTTTTGACTTGAAAGCCAAAACAATATCGGTTAGCATAACCAAATATGAATATAAAATACATATATTTTATATATATTTCTTGTGTCATAGAACAGCTGCCACCCTTACTGAGCCAAGTGGGGCTCTTCAAAGAACCCACCTTACGCTACTAGTGGATGCCACCTGGGAAGTGGCCCAGTCAGAGCTGTAGAAGCTCCAGGTGTCTGGGATAAGTGGGTCAATACTGAGAAGAGAGCAATCTTGGCAGAGTGAAGTACAGAGAACATACACAATGGTTCTCTATTACAAGGTTGAAAATGGATTTATTTAATTTTTTCATTATTCTTTACCCAAACACAGCTGAGTGAATGGGCTTAATTTCAAAGATATAAACCACATTATCACCACATTCAGAGTGCTGTTTTGTTGCAGTAGTACATCACATTTCTATAGCTCTCAATGGAATTTAAAGCATACTTCCTGTAACAATTTTCTTACCTTTTGAGAAAAACCAGCTTTGCCTTGTGTAAATTAACTCAGCCTATGCTTTTCAGGATCAACTTCCTATTTGATGCTTGCCCCACCCACCTATGCCAAGTCAAACCAATGGGGGCATCTATGTGTGCAGTTCTAAAGCCAGGGCTTAACAAAACAAAGCTTTCTTAAAACCTTTGTATAATTATGCTCTCCTATTCTAATTCTTTCATTTAGTTTAGCTCATCCCTTAGAGCTGCACCATGTGATCTACTGGTTGAGCTCATCTAACTATGAGCCTGCTACAGGCTGCTAATTTGATGCCTGTATTAGCTCTTGCACGCGGTAGCAACAATATATAAGTGATTGGCCAATTTATTAGGTACATCTGCTCAACTGCTCATCAACACAAATATCTAATCAGCCAATTACATACCATCAGTTCAGTTTCATTCAGACATGGTCAAAATGACCCTCTGCATTTCAAACTGAGCATCAGAATAGGGGAAAAGGGCAATTTAAGACAGTTTGAACAGGGCATAGTAACTGATGCCAGACGGGCTGGACTCAGTATTTCAGAAACTGCTGATCTATTGGGATTTTCCCACAAAACCATCTCTGGGGTTTACAGAAAACTTTCTGAAAAAATATCCAGTGGGCAGCAGTTCTCAGGGAGAAAGTGCCTTGTTGATGACCACACTGGCAGCAGACCACACCAAGGTGGCGCTCCAGTCAGCTAAGATCAAAGTTGAACAAAGCATTATTACCTGGTCTGACAAATTTTGATTTTTGCTGTGACTTTCGGATTGTAGGATCAGACTTTGGGTTAAACAACATGAAACTATAGATCCATCCTGGCTCGTATCAACAGTTCAGGCTGACAATGGTGGCGCAATAGTGTTCGAGATATTTTTTGGCATACTTTGGGCCCCTTACTACCAGCTGATCATCATTTAGTGTGCTGGTGTATTGTTGCTGTCCTTGCCCATTCTTTTATGATGGGCATGATCAGCTTTTTGATGGCTGCTCCCTGCAGGATAACATGCCGAGGCACAAACCTCAAATCATTTCAAACTGCTTTGTTGAAAATAACAATGAGTTCACTGTACTCAAATCCCCTCCACAATCACCAGATCCCAACCCAATAGAGCATCTTTGGGATGAGATTCCCATTATGGATGTGCAGCCGACATGTGCAGGAAATGTGAGATGCTATCATATCTATATGGATCAAAATCTCTGAATCTCTTACTGAATGTATGTCATAAAGAATTAAGGTAGTTCTGAAGGCAAAATTGGGTCAAACGTGGTATTAGGAAGCTGTACCTAATGAAATGGTTTGTGAGTGTATAGGCAGAGGTTCAAAACTATCACCAAACCTGAGTGTTACGCACATAATTAAGCCTATCTGCGCGTGTGTAGGTCGTTTTATCTTCTTACACATGAGCACAACAGAGCTGACACATACAGAGTCATAACAGAAAAGATAAAAAACATAACTACATAAGCAACAGGAAGAAAAGCAAACATTACTGTGCTCCATTGACGGCTATCGCCATTAAGGCGTTCGGTGCTTGCTAATTGCAAATGTGACAGCATTTATACAAACGTCGACGCCTTTAAGGCCTTGTCATCAGCGTTACAATGACATTTAACAACACAAAAGGGGCCTAATTTACCGAAAACAACCGTACAGCGAATAGTGTTATTGTTTCACTCGTACCTCCTCGTCCACTCGTTGTGATAACGAAGTGTCACCGGCAAAGATGCTGTCTCACTGCTGCACCTCGGGAAAGACAAATCAACACATCCTCCACCGCTGTCCAAATGGCACCGTATCAAAGCCGCAGTGGTACCACCGAAGAGGTCGGTTAAGCCTTTTCGTGTGGTTACTGACAAAACGGGTTAAAACGGGGCATTTCAAACAACAGATGGAACAGGTGCACGGCACGCCGATACATCCCTAGGAAGAGCGAGCAGGATGATGCTGAGAAGGAAGAGGGGTTGAAATCCCACCTTATTTGACCACAACTGCGAACGCCGCCATCGTGTGGTCAAGATTGAGAAGTGCGTTTTAAACGGCTAGATCTAAAAGGTGAACAGGAATTATTCAGCATTTCGGACGCATAACTTTAACAAATAAAGAGGATTTAATTTGTGGTTTGGATTTTTGAGGGTTTCATCCATATATATGTACGTAATCAGTCGGTTTTTTTACTCTAAGGATAAAAAAAGTTTAAATCAGATAAGTAGTTCAGAGACTTCGTCGGTAGGGGATGCGCGTAGAGCACGTTTAGCATCCCTCGATGCTAAAATGACTCCACCCAAAGTGAGGACAACACGGGTTCTGATTGGTTGTTTCTGATGTCAATCTCTGCACCCCCCTCCCTTCCCCGTCTACAGTCAACAACACACGTAGCACAGCACAGAAGTTGGGGCACAAAGCAGCCTGTAAAATGCAAAGACGCTGCTAGAGAACAGTAACACCGGGGAACCCATAGTTTCCTCGAAGCTCTTCAGAGGTATGACACCGAGCTAGCTGAGAGTCGTCAAACTGGGCCGTGCTGAAGAGAGAAAGGACTGTTTGTTTCTGAGTTGGGGTCTGCAAAGGGGAGAGGGGAAAAATGAAGTTCGCTCAGTTTTTGCTGAAAAACAACTTTGTGGCTGGGATACCGAAACAAGTGGATAGGTTTTCTAAGTTTTCTCCATCTCCCCTGTCTATGAAGCAGTTCATCGACTTTGGTAAGTGAACTAGAGCAAATTGTTGTTGTTTTTATTTTATTTATTTATTTATTTATGTTTGTGTTTGTATGTGTGTCTGTGGTAGTGGTACACTCCCAGATTTTAATCGTAGGTCAGAGTTCAGTTCAGGTGCGAAACAAACTGCCCGAAGGAAGCATATGCCCACAAAGATGACACAGAGGTCATGTTTTTGTGCTTGCTCAGTGTTTTTTCTTCTTCTTCTCCCTGATGTTGGCTGTCATGTGACTGCAGGCTCGGCCAATGCATGTGAGAAGACCTCCTTTGTGTTCCTCCGCCAGGAGCTTCCTGTCAGATTGGCCAACATCATGAAGGAAATTGATTTCCTCCCTGACAAACTCCTCGGCACTCCATCACTGAGGCTCCTCACCAGCTGGTAAGAAATTCAGATGCACAGCAACAAAAATCATATTTATGAATCCCAGATTCCTGCACTGTTCAACTGGTCATTTAAAGCATGCAGTTCACTCATGCCCTCTGCTTATCACCTCATAATATTACTTCCCACACATTACAGCATCTGCATATCTACAGTGACTTCACACACGCAGCCATCCTGTAGTTTTGCTAATCTGCACCTTAGGTTGTGTGACTGTTAACTTTAGATGTGCACCAAATCTCTTCTTTTCTCAGCCAGAGGATTTCTGTGCACTCGCTTGGCACCTGATCTGGGAACATGTTTTATGATCTGTTCTGGATTAGATAAGACAGCCAGTCCCTGTTTCACATGGTTGTGTTGTCCCAATGGGGCTTTATGACTTAATTATTAATGCATATGCCTGGTCTCGCTTCAGCCGTGCTCTGTCAGGAAGCAGCACCTGTTTTTGACTTTTGAGGATTGCATGCTACTTGGTGCTTTGTTGCTGTCACAACCTTCAAAGAGGAGCTGTACCAGCATTCCATATTGCGTGAACCCATATGCCCACTCCGATTTCAAGGTGTAGGAGAACTCATAACCATGTTGTTTTTTTAGAACATTGACTGTGAGAAGAACAGCTGTGATCTCTTTATTGTTTATTGTTATCATACTGTAGCTATGTCTCTGACCAAAGCAGCTGAAACGTTTGTTCCTAGTCTAAAGAGGTTGGACAGGGTGTGGTTCACTTCCTTCTGTAAATGTCCTTCATTCACATGGTGGCTAAAATAAAGTGCTTTGTTACCACTTTGGCATGTTTAGCCCTCTAGAGTTCCTGAACTTATAGAAAGCTCTAGTCCTTGTGGTGGGAATGCACTGGTTCCTGTAGTGGAAAAGGCCCCATTTACTGGAGTTTTACTGTCGTGTGTTCTGCCTCTAGATTTTACTGTATGCATCACAAAGCAAACACTACAGATGTTGGCTAGTCAGCCTTGTTTGTTTGCATGATTGAAGAGCTCAGCCAGCTTTTCTCAAAAACTAAAATAGCAGTTTGCTTTTCCACCAAAGCAGCATCACACACTGCAAATGGTATGCTATCCATGTTGATGATTTATAACTTATCAAGCCCAGGCAACAACCCCACTCTTAAATAGAAGTCACAGCAGCAACTATATTTGGCCATGTACCTCATGGACAGTAACGTCCTTTTTCCACTGAGCTTTGTTTGCAAAAATCATCTATCTGTTGTTTGTTATTGGTGTTGACGAGTCAAGACACTTGAGGCTTTGGCATTTGGGGGAAAGTTGCATAAAACATCTATTACAGGATGTCTGTTTGCAGAGTGTGGAGGGCCTGGAAGGTCATTTGAGGGACACGCTCAGTGTGTTGAGTTGAAGCTACACTGCTGGTTACCTTTCACCCAGTTTTTGTGCAGTGAGGCGGCGCAAGAGAGCATGACTAGATGAGCTCAGCACTTCCTCATTCACTGGTCTAGACCAACAACAATCGTCTTTTATTTAAAGAGAGGATTTTGTTATGTCATATTCCAACAGCTACAGCAAAATTCTGCCCAGAGTAGCTTCTTTCACATGCTTCTTTTTCAATATATATTGCCTTTCTTGCCCTTTTGATTTGTGATAAATTAAACTTTGCTGCTTTAAAATCTATTCTTTTGTGTCCATCAGGTATTCTCAGAGTTTGTTGGAGCTCATAGACTTTTTAGAAAAAGATCCAGACGATAAGGATGTCCTGAAAAAGTAAGTCGTACGCAGAAACTATTCACTATATGTGTACTAACTGCAAACAAATGTCTCTGCCAGGCTTTTTGTGTGTGTTACAAATCAAATTATTTATTAGGCGAGTGATGGCCAATGCTAATTCAACATCTGTGTAATGACACGTTAATTAATCAGTAGTGCAGTTGTCTGAATCCCTGATACGGTTCCGTTATTCATGCTCACATGAAATCACAAATACCCCGCATTGCATCGAGTCTCATTTTTGTCATATCTGCTCGAGCTGAACTAAACATACCCCGGTCTGGCAGGGAGTGAACTGGATTTTAAGGGAGGAGCAAAATGAATGCATTGGAATTTGAAAACTAAAACCAAGGCATCATTGTGCAAGAAAAAGTGCGACAGTGGACGTTTAATCTCAAGTTGTTTACCTGGTTTATTCATTCAGTGCATTCACCGTCTGATGTTTGCTTTGACTTTTTGTCAGGTGCCATCTTTTTGAATTTGCTTCACTCAAAGCAGTTCCTTAAAGTTACTAACTGCATTTATAATAGCACACTTCTACAGCTGATTTCTTATATGGCTAACCTATGTGATGTGCTGTCTACGCTGATGTGCAGTAACTCTCACAATCATCGTGTCCCTTCACATATTCATGCATTTATCATGTTGTTGTCTCCAGCTTTACACAGACTCTAGTAAACATCAGGAACCGGCATAACAACGTGGTGCCCACCATGGCTCAGGGGGTGGTGGAGTACAAGGAGGCTTTCGGCGTGGACCCCGTCACCAACCAGAACGTTCAGTACTTCCTGGACCGCTTCTACATGAGCCGCATCTCCACACGCATGCTCATGAACCAGCACAGTCAGTATAGTTACCTGTGATTAACTGTGAGTTAATCCGCACAGTTGTTATCATTCACAGTTCATGTCATTAAAGGAGCCCTCTGAAGTTTTCATTTAAATAAAAGTGAAATAAATGAGGTTTAAGGGTGTTTTCACACCTGCCAGGTTTAGTCTGGTGTGAACACGGTAATCGCACTCAGGTGCTGGTCTCAGTCTGGTTCCTAATGAACAGCAGTGCATTTCATTTATGGTGTGAATGTGAGCTAAAAAACTTCCTGTAGCCATGTAAGCTTTGCATTCTGGGATGCAGCAAGGTACAATACATGTGCAAAGGTCTGTACAGGCAAGCAGCTAGCTGTGAAATGAACGTAAATTCTCAGTGTTCTCTGATAGTCCAGAGCACAGAAATCTTCCTTCTGTGTTTATTTCAGTGGCTCCAATAAGCTGACTGAATGTTGTCTTGTAATTTGTAGTGACGCGTTCCCGTTTCATTGGAGTTAACTGTTATTGTGTGCAAATTAAATCAGATCACAGGTGAAAAGTCATAAAGATTCATACCAGACATACTATAGGTGTTGACAACACTGTAAGAAATACTATTGAGCCCATTGACTTCCTTTACATTTTGTATTGTTGGTCAGTGCTAAACAAATCAAAGGGAATCAGCTTTTACAGCTGAAGCTCTGTTAGAGATCTAAATTTCCAAGGAAGCTGGCAGTACTTATTTAGCCAGGCTAGTGTACATCACTAGAAGTTAAGACAAAAAGAACTAAAATAAAAAAGAAGGTTAAGTGGAAGTAAAACCAAAAGCTTTAAGTTACACTTGATGAGCTGATTCAGCACCAAGTTGTGTTCTCGTGTATTTTTAAGAGCATTTCTTTAAAAGCTGCAGTAGCAGAAAAAGATTCAGACCCTGCTTTTGCAAAGGGGAGGAAAACCTGAATTACAATGTGCTGATTATGGACTTCCGCAACTAGTGTTGGCTACTACATCTTTAACCAGTATGGCATAATCAAGGCCCAACCTGATAACAACAGTTTTATAGCGGTGTAGCACTGCTGTCACACTGACTATTTAATGAGTCTGGCTTTATTTCCAGCTGAACAAGCATGTATACTGTGTATGTATCACAGATGAGCCTCTCATATATATATATATTTTTTAATATGTCTACTTTAGCATTGATATTTGACGGCAGTGTAAATCCGGCCCATCCCAAGCATATTGGCAGCATTGACCCCACCTGTGACGTTGTGGAAGTAATAAAAGGTAAATAATGATGTTTCTCATAGCTATGCACACACACTCACGCCCATGCACGCTGTGTGTTATCTGTTTTCCACCACTCGTCTGTACATACAGCTTCGTGACCTTTTGACCTCTGATGTTTTGAGTCAACACGCATAGTGTGTGTAAGCGGTGTTGTGTTGTTATAGTGCGTGTGCACATATGATCACTGTGAGAATAAGAGCGAGGACTTCTATACCCTTGTTATTTCAGGATGTGCAGGTCTGGGCTTTTTTTGTTGTGGTAACAGTTTCTGACCCCGAGAACGTCACGTTTTGATTCACTTTGCAGATGCCTATGAAACCTCGAAGATGCTGTGTGAGCAGTACTACCTGACCTCTCCAGATATGAAGATCACAGAAATTAATTGTAAGTGTTTTAAAAAAATAAGGTTTACTTTATAATTCAGGATGTAGCGCTGCTTGGATTTTCTGCTCGTTGCCATCTGTGAGAGGAAAGTCTTGCTGGGTTTCCTGTTCCAGAAACAGAATTAACTGAAAGTTACTCTAAGTCAGTTACCAGGGTGACAGGCATTGTTAACCAATCACGATCACTGGCAAGTTTTCTTATCTTTGACTCCTCCCCTTCTGCTGCAGCTGAAGTCGCCTTTTGACACTCAGTTCCTCAAATGTACGGCTGATACTAGAACATGTATAACAATGTGGTCACTTGCAGAAGTTTACATCTTGACAAACACTGAAATCCCAGTTGCATGTTTGCTTTTTATGCATGTTTGACAGTTTTATAATCAAGCTGTCATGAGCGTAGAAACAGGGATCACTGGACCTTGCGGATTTATTATCAGCTCAGAATAAAATCAGCAGGTCACATCTTTACAACACTGTGACTCCATGAAGGTGCTAAAGCATTGCTTGCATGTTACTGTTGTAATCCATGTTTAAATGAACAAATCTGTAGCAAGCCTTAGGATGAACAATCATTTGACTTGGCCTACTCGGGCCAAATGATGGAAAAAATACCTGCTGATTAGGTAAATATTTGTGAGTACATTTGAGTGTAATGACTTTAGGATTGTTGTGAACTTTTGAATGCAGACTGCAGATAGTCAAAATGTGCTGTGCAAAAGTCTTGAGCCATCCATCATTTCTTTATATTTTGCTAGGAAAATGAGAAAAAGTTGCAGCGATTTATTGAGACTTGTAGACACCTTTAGCTTCACCTTTACAATCATTCTGTCATTAATATATAAGGACGGAGACAGGAGTTATGTCACAGGGTTATATTCAGCTCAGAATAAAATCTGTAGTCTCAGTTTTTCTAACTCTGCGGCACAGAGTCACAATTTGGATAAGAAAGGCTCTGCTCATTACTTGTTGCAAATCCTGATACTGAAGCACCGTCGTTGTTGGCTTTCTTCTTCTACTTATGCATGTATTTAACTCAGAGTGGACATACCAAGAATTGATAGAATGAACTCTCAAGGTGCCAAAGTTTTTGGATAGACGTGGAGCCCTTTGAACCGGAACAAGCCCCTGCTGTTCTCCTGAACATAATCTTTGTTAGTTTTATACTGAAGATATCTGTTACCTGTCTGCTGGCTCTGCCAAAACCTCGACACTAGAGGTTCCCAAACTTGAACCATAACATTCATATCTACATAGTAAAGATAGCTGTATGCCGTTTAACAGAAAAAGAAACTGCTCTTTAAATATATCGATGATATAGATACACCTGTTCTGTTACATGGTATGGTGAGAGTTGATCAAATAGAGTTTAATCTGTCAAGGAAGATATTCAAGAGACCAGCTGCACGCCTTTTAAGACCCTGGTTAAATATCTGTGACTATTATAATACATTTAAAAAGTGTTTTTTGGGTTTTCTTGTGGTCAATGTTTTGAATGTTTCACAGCCAAAAACCCTGGCCAGCCCATCCAAATTGTATATGTGCCATCACATCTCTACCATATGCTCTTTGAGCTCTTCAAGGTACCGTATTAAACACGCACTATTAAAAACAGGACATTTATTGCTGTTCCTCATGGGTCTCCTCACTTGTTTTTCTGACTCCGTGTTCTCTGTCAGAATGCCATGAGAGCTACAGTAGAGATGCACGAGACGAGCACGACGTTGCCCTTGATCAAAGTCCGTGTTTCACTGGGCACTGAGGATCTCACTATCAAGGTAAATGAGGACACCATGCGTGATGATAGGCTGGAACATTTAAGCTCCAGGCAGCACTGTACGTGTTGTACTTTGTTCTAAGTCTGCTCTGGGTGTATACCATAAATACAACTAACCTGCAGACTTGATACGCAAAGTACCACACTCTTAGATTATGTTTAAATGATAAAGAGTTCACAGGCAAAACACTAAGAGAACTCTTGTAAGTGCAGAATGCTTGTGTTTTATTTTTAGATGTCTGACAGAGGAGGCGGAGTCCCTCTAAGGAAGATTGAACGTCTCTTCAGCTACATGTACTCCACAGCTCCCAGTCCAGTCCGCGTAGACAATGGTCGTAATGCCCCTCTGGTGAGACTAACACTGTCACACTTGCTTTTAGGCTTTTTTTTGTCCTTAAAGGTGCAAATCTTACTACTAGAAGTCAGTAGCACTGCCCCTCCTCCTAAAGTTGAAGGTGGTGGGGTTGAAGCTATGGTGGCTATTGTAGGAACTCTGACTGCTGTTCATTTGCAGCAAGTGATGCAGGCTGTTAGTCTGCTGTTTAGCTCAGCTGTCAGTATGCTCGGCGTCCCTGGCTATTTATTCTGAAGATGCCCTATAAATTCCCACAAAACTCAATGAGTTTTTCAGGATATCTTGACCTTTTTTGTGAGTACTGCGATTGATTATGTTAATCTCAGTTAGCTGCTGTTAGTCTCTGTTAGCAGCTATTATCCTCTGTTAGCTGCTATTAGCCAGCATCAGTGAAACGTTTCTTGAAGTGGATCTAACATTGTTAGATTTAGCAAATAAACGCAATGTGAGAATTTAATCAAACTGTTTTTCTGAGGAAAAGTGAGATTTTTAGGACACTCAAGCCTAACATTTGCTGTCATAATATGAGATTATAATCAGCTATAAATCAGCTGTTATAACATTGTCTGCTGTCTGGAGACAGGAGGGCTACATGTCTAATAATGTGCTGACAGTAAGTAGCTGCAACAATATCTGGAATAAATGAGCATGTTTATGCACATGTTTGTGTGTTAGAGCCCTGACTTCAGTTCAGGAAGTGGTGCCGGAAGTAAGGAGGAAGAGGCTGAGGTGGAAATTTATTCAGTCTCTAGCCACATACATCAAACGTGATTAGTTGGAAAGGTTTCATTTTTATACACATTAAAGTCTACAATTAACATATCTTCATGATATTATTCCCTTTAGGCGACTTTTGTTGTGCTTTGGTGCTATATAAATAAAATTGAATTGAATTGAAATACTCAGGGTTTACAACAAGGTGCAAACTGGTGTTTAAACTCAAGAACAGAAAGACCAGATTAGATTTTGCCAGAAAATATCTATTAAAAAAAAGGCCTTCTCAGTTCTTTTAAACAAATCTTTGGACAGATGAAACCAAGATCCACATGACGTGTATGGAGAGGGAGAGACGGCTCATATTCCGAAGTATAGCATATTATCTGTCAGACATGGTGGAAGGAATGCCATAACATAGGAATCTGTGGCCACCAGTGTAACTGGGTCACTAGCATTTATTGATGAAGTGACTGCAAAAAGCAACCAAAGAGTTTCTCAGGCCAAAGAAATGGAATATTCTTCAATGGCCAAGTCAGTCACCTGATCTCAGTCCAGCAGAGCATGCTTTATAATTACTGAAGTCAAAAACTGAAGGCAGAGAGACCAAAAAGCAAAAAACAAGCAACTGAAAACAGCAGCAATAAGGTCCTGGCAGATCTCAGGGAAGGAAACACAGCATTTAGTGATGTTCATTGCTTCCAGACTTCAGGCTGTCATTGACTACAGAGGAGTTTTAAAAGCATTTCTTATGTTTAAAATTAAACAGCTTTATCCACTTAATTTAGGCCTCTTATAATGCAATACTATGTATGAAAATGACTGTAATTCCTAACCAGTTAATGCAAATTTCTTCGGTGAACCGCAGTGAATGAAAGTCTGCACATCAATGACATCTCGATAATTTAATTTAAACTGCACTGTGGTGGTGCACAGAGGCAAAACTACAGAAAACTGTGGCTTTATCGTTCAAATTGTGGACCTCAATGTGGGTGAATGGAGCTCTGCTGGGTCTCAGCTAGACAACAAAGGTGACTGGGCCTGTGATGTTAGACCTGCACAACTGTGGAAGGCTACAAACGTCCAGTGACTTATAATGGAAACTTTTTTGTCTGTTAAATCTCTGCTAAAGACAACATTTGATGACCTTGCCTGTACCTTTAATGATAGGTTCTGAAACCTTAATGACAGCACAAATCAATAAAGACTGTTTAACGACTGGGTTTTTTCCAAGAATAGCTGCAGAGGCAGAGACCACCCTCACTAACGTTTGTGGCAAACCCTGTCATTTGGTTCTGCAAACAGGCCTGAAATATCACAGAAACCACTCAGTTTAGAAAAGGGTCACTCCCAGTATACTTTCAAGGGGTAAAATAGAGTCAAAATTCCCTTTATTGACAGGCTTTTATGAGAGTTTTTTTAAAATATAATTTTCAAAATTCTGGATTGTTCTTAGTTTTTCTTTGTTTTGGAGGTGCTTTTATGATTATTCTGGTGTTTTTTAATATTTGCAGTGTCTTTGTGTTAAGCACGTTCTAATTTAGCCAAGAAAAGTGCAATATTTAGAAGAAAAAAAGGTGTTGCCTTTAAACCTGACATTAGGAGTAAACCTGAGTCTAATTCACCCTGTTTTAACCAGACACTTACACAAACAAACATGGCTGCAAATGAGCTTATTACACCGTGAAATGCAGTCAGCAGTGGTTCACTGGTTTAAACTCTAACCATGAGAGACTCTGCTATTTTTTTAAATGTTGCAGTAGTTTTAGATTAATCTATAAAGACAGTGTAACCTTGTTATGTTTCTGCTTTCCCGACCTTTATTCAGGCTGGTTTCGGCTATGGCCTGCCCATTTCCCGCCTGTACGCCAAGTATTTCCAGGGAGACCTGCAGCTCTACTCAATGGAGGGTTATGGCACATCAGCGGTCATATACTTGAAGGTGAGAACAGCTCCACCTTAACACATAATGTCAAAAAATAACATTGAAGGCCAAGTTGGTGCAGAGTTCACAAACTTGCATGCTGTTAGCCGGACGTACTGGATAGGCTGAGTGGAGGCAGATGCAGAGTAACTATTTAATACAGAAATGTTGTTAGTATAATTTACAAGGTTACATTCTGGAGATCGAGGGATGTCGTTTAAACAGGCTACTGAGTTCTAATTAGACACACATGGACCTCGGCAGGAGAGCAGGGTGGGCGGGGGTGTGGTTAGACTCCAGTAATGAGTTCCCCTCCATGCTCTATCACTAGGCCCTGTCTTCAGAGTCTGTGGAGAGACTTCCTGTTTTCAACAAGTCGGCCCTGCGGCATTACCAGTCCACCACAGAGGCCGATGACTGGTGCATGCCCAGCAAGGATCCAAAGAAGCTCGGCAGGTATGAGACGAGCGGGTGATGTCAGACTGAGGAAGGAGAATGAGGAAAATTAAGAAGAAGAGAGCACATGTCGGAGGAACCAAAAAGCTTTCAGCGTGTTGCTGGACTTGGATTTTTGTCGCGGACTCTTCTCTCTCCCTGAGGGAGGGCGGAAAAAACAAAAGTTTATTGTTGGTATGAAGAAAGCGGTATCAAACCTAAACCTGAATCTGATTTCAGACCAGCCGTCACCTAACATAAGCTCACCCCACAAAATGTGCTGCTAATGGGAATGGAACAATTAATAATCTCCTTTTTACCTCAGTGATTACGCTCAGAAAAAAAGTCCTCTTTGTGTTTATGTAACATTAGTATCATTCACAATCCAGACGTTTGGTTTATTAAAATCACAAGTATTTTGTGTTTGTGCATTAGGTTAAACGCTTTTGTTTTGTTTTTTGTTTTTAAAAAAGGCCAGCCACAGCCGACTGAAGTGTTTGTGTCTTTGAGCAGAACGGGGGCGCGTTCGCTGACTGCCGCATAAACACAAAGGGAGCAAAGTCTGTTTCCAACGATCAGCTATAATATGCAGCGCTGCTTCGTTCGCACAGCTTTCAGCGTTTCTTTGTGAACAATAGCAAATGTGAAATTATTTTTGCTGCGATGCCACATTTGTGTGTGTTGGAGGATTTTCAGTGTCACTAATTATGTACCTCGTGTCTTTATGCAAGCTGAAAGGAGTTTGAAAAGTCGAGTCATGCAGAGGAATGAGTGGAGAAATTTATCATGCCTGGTCAGATGGGTGAAAAATAGTTGCGAATGTTCCCTTTACAGTGATTTTAAAGTGTTAAAGTATGTGTGAAGTTTAATGGGAAGTACAATTTCTGCAGGAAGTTGTACTTTAGCTCCCTGTTTTGTAACACATTGTAAGTCTTCACCCTGTTATCTGTGCCTGACATGATACAGTCGGTATTGGAGGCACGTAGGAACAACACAAACAGATGAGAGAGGACCTTATGTAAGATGTAAGCCATTAGCTGCCAGACATACTTTTATATTCAATCCATTTAGTTTTAAGTTTGGAAAAATGTCTTGGGAACTTAATGTTGAGAAAATATTTTAACCTTTATGTGATGTTTTCCCTTGAATTCATAGATGTGCAGTTTTCACCTTTTACTCTATAAGTGTCACTCAAAGGCCAAGTGTCCCTGCACTGAGTCTGTGGTTCACCACTAAGAGGACCAGTGAATGTAGAAATTAAAAAAATAAACTCCTGTCACCTCTCAGTGTATCATTTCTTCAGATCCACTTCATGCTTCTGCACTTTGTTGTTCATTTGAACAGTCGGTGAACAGAAATGAAACCGTTTACAGTCTGTAAACACCTCCCATTTGTTACCGCCCTCTTAAAGTCTCCCTTCTCTTTTTCCACAGCTCGTTTTAGGAAACTTTGCTGTTTGTAAGTCGCCCTAATAGTCCATTGGCTTTCTGTGGCCGCCTTCCAATAGAGGCCGAGAACAGGCTGTCTTGTTTTGCAGCTTCCTCTGTGTGCCCACAAATGCGGTGCTCCTTTCTAGTTTGGTTTCTCTTTGTTTGTTTGTGTCACTCTGTTCTGTTTTACAGTTTACTGCCATCATCATACAAATACAGGATTATGCAAGGTCGATCTGAAAGATAAGGGAGAGTAAGACTAAGTATAAGATCAATAAAAGCAAAGACCTTTTCTCCGACGTAATCCTCACTGGTATATTTTTAGAATTAGGCCACTCGGGTCCTGGTCCTTCAGTCATCCTAACAATGTTCCCTCTACAGAATATGAACACATGCAAATCAGAAGGCTACGTCAGACACTTGGTTTGGATCTCTGCTGTGAATCTTGGCATAGAAAGTTAAGAAATACAAGTGAAGACAAATATCACAGCACAAATATTAGCTTTGTTCCGTGTTCGACTGTGCAACGTGCCGGGGCACGAGTTCGCCTGGATTTAACCTTTCTACTGTTGACACTGTTTGTTTACTTATAAAGTTGATATGCCAGTACTGAAAAGCTGCAGCAGACACTTTTGGTGCATAAAGAGATCGACTGTCTTGTTTAATTTTGAGACTTCACAGATGGAGTGGCCCAGGATGGCTGGGACCATCTCCAGGCCTCCTTCCACTGAACTGGATATGCAGGTACTAAAAAGGATTCATGGATGGGATTCAAGCTGCAAGTTTTGGTAATGTTTGGTAATGCTGGGTTGTCCAAAAAGTACAAAACAGAGGTGCAGTACAGACACCTCCACATGACCTATAGACTGCTGTAAGGTTCATAATGACTGTACCTTTCTATCTGAATTACTGGTTATAAACAGCTTCTGCTCTTTTGTTCACATTTCATTTATTTGCAACTGCACTACTGAGCAGAAGCTCCCTTAGGCAAGCGGTCTTGTAATTTCTTCAAGCAGCTGTGGCGACCCCTTATGGATGAAGGAGCAGCCAAGGAATACTTCTCCAGGCTTCTTGAAGGACAATCAAAGCTCTTCTTTGGATGTTGGCTGCCTTTTGTTCCCACACTGCCTCAGTAATGCTAAGGTCTGGGCTCTGGGGAGGCCAATCCATGGCTGACCGCTGCCTTTTCTCACTGTTCTTTAAGAATAGCTTCATTTCTGCTCATTTCTGATGAGGCTTCTGGTCCAGTGTCGGGCCTTTGCTGGATTTTTTTCCCCTGTTTTTTAAGGACATGACTTTCAGATCATTTCAAATGCTGTAGCTAGATTTTTTAAAATTTTATTTTAGATGTGCTACTTTTGTCCAGTTTCCTGCCCATTTTTAAGGACACACTGCACTTCATGCCAAGATGTACCAAGTTGTTGTGTCAATATCTCAACTATTTTAGGCTCAAAACTTTGACACAGTATTATAATCACACTTTCAAGTACTGAAAGTGTGATTATCCAAACACTAAATATTTTGTAGATGGTTTTCTGAATATTTTAAAATGACTTCTCCTCGCCTCAGATATTCATTTTGTGTGTCTCTATAATGCATCATTAGAGACGACACAAAAATACCAAGCACGAAGCTTTAATCTTAACGTTTCATTAGGTTGACAGTTCATTTATCTCCTCTAGCGTCTCCTCCAGTCTGCCTCAGTCTAATGACTTCTTTCCTCTGTTGTACATTAGTCTTTCTCCCGGTGACTCAGCATCTGGATGAAATAGACAGACATCATTACAGCATGCTGTTGTGAAAGGACTGGGCCATGTTCTGTAAAGGATTAAAGGCAGACTTGACACCTTTCAGAACAGTTTCCTCTAGGAGAGGATTTACTGTGCTCATTCTGGTAAAACCTGAAAAGAATATTAAGTTCTTCTTCTTCCTTTTTAAGAAGTTATCTCTGATCTGAGGGCGTCGGGTGCTTTCTTGCACTGCTACAAGCAGTCCACTGGAAAAACAAGCACTTGTTCCGGAGGGTTTTGTCAAGTGTTTGTTCTCTTGAAAGTGGAACATGAGTTTGAGAGTGCGCATTAAGGCTGGTTGCCGGGTAGATTTGGAGCCTTCTCTGCATGGGCTGTCCATAGAGAGAGAATCTGGTCAACACTGCACAGGTGGAAAATAGCTACAGCAAAGAGACTCGCACTAAATACACTTTAGATGCTTCTTTTTGGGCGGCTAAAGGTCCCTCTGTCACTCTAAAGAATAAAGTAAATGCAAACATTTGCACATTTGTCGATTAAACATTTAAGGGTTAGGGAGTGATGCTGTCACTGCTTTAAAACTTCTTTCTTTTTGCTTTTCTGTTATCATCACCTTAGTCATTAATGTAAGTGATCTAGAGCTTCGTACATCTCATTTTTAGTCTTTTATTGGGTCATTACAAAAATGACCTATAGATCCCATTATCTCAGACTCCTCTGGGTGTTGGCAGAAACGAGACGCTGATAATCAAACTGTTTCTTTTTAATAAAATTAATTTCAGACTCACCAGGCTAGTAAAGGTGTCAACATAGCAATATATCTAAAACGATCTCTCCCCGCATGACGTCACGTTTAGTTTCATTTTTTCAATATATTCTACATTTATATCCTCAAAAATTGATATGGAGCAAATTAACTACTGATAACCTCTTTCAGTGGGTTCAGACGCTGTAGAAACCTTGGCTGTGTTATTTGCACTACTGATTAATCATGAAGCTGCTTTTGTTTTCAGGGTGCACCGTGTCACGACAGGCAGTGTTCGAAGCTCTGTCCTTCTAATTGGACACCTTCTCTTTATACAGACAAAAATGTCAATCCACAGCTCTCATTTAACTTTTAACGCCCCCATAATTTGGTCCTTATCTTTGAAAAGACCAAATGGTTGTTATTTTTGAATGCAAGAAATTCTGAATGTGGTAGTTTGTTCTCATAATAACAACCTAACAGAGAGAAGGCAACACTAGGAGTCGTTTGGGTTGGAAAAAAAAGAACTTACTTTATACATTTTTCACTATTTACAAGAAACAAAATTTCGGTAAGAATTTTCTCACAATATATTACAGGGAAGTTATTTTTTGGGCAGGCCCTAGCTCCACTATCAAGCCTTTATATGTAGTACATATATCACTATGCCTTAAGATTCAGACTAGACACACCATTGCCATCTATACAACAAAAACACCAATGAGGAGGATTTAACATCTGGAAGCATCTTAAAGCTATTTTAACAAATCTCCCCTCCGACCCGCCAGCTGTCCTGGAATGTTAGCAGCTATTAACTAAAACACAGAAATGGTTCATCCTGCAAGCACAAAAAATACCTTTTTTTTGTTCTTTTTCTGTGCTTTCTGAGGTGTTTTAAATAAATAAAATGTTAATGATGATGATGTTACATCTTGCACCACTTTTCATTTCCACAGTTAGCGGAGAGGCACTTAATAAATGTTTCTGTTCGGGTCATTAGGCCTCATTCTGCACATCAGAACACCAGAGTCTCTATCAGTACAGTATCCCCTCAGGTTCTAGTAATAAATACTTCTTCATGGATAATGGCAGAGGCAGCTGTGCTACTCCTCTGTCACAGAAACTGCCCAGGGCAGCTCTGATGGCACATCTGGAGAGGTGAAGCAGACTGCGAGGAGCGTCGGTGCAAACAGCAAACAGGGAGTCGTAGAAGTCTTTATGGCGCTGAGGAGACAAAAAGAAACAGACGCTTTTGTTTAACTTCAATGAGAGTGCACACTCAGTCATATTCAGCTAATGTACGCTGAATTTAAAGGGGCAATACACTAATTAACAATTGAGAGGCATCATATAGCTTTGAATTTGTTCATCTATAAATATTTCATCTTTTAACATTCTTTTCAGTTTTTACATTTTTTAAATTATAAATGAGATTTCTTACACAGGATTACGTTTTTTCCTTTTTAATTTCAGTCAGTGTGTGTGTATTGTATTTAAAGAAAACAGTCTTTATTAGCTCTACCTTGTAGCAGTCATCAGGAAGAGCAGCTCTCCACTTCCTTGTGGGTTTTAAACTGCTATAGGAGTTAACCAAGATTTCTACAACTCTGGGGTAGTCATGGCAGTTCTGGAACACCTGTGCAAAACATTACCGACTTTGTGGTTAAACATATAGTATAACGCAGATCATTTCAGCACAAACCCACATCATCATCTTCTCTACCTTGTGGAACTGTGGTGGGTAAATCCGTGCTGCATTGTAGTTGAGCAGCAGCTGAAAGCAGAGGTCTGGTATGGCCATAGGCCTGACTTCCGTCACTTTAAGGAGATACTGAATGGGAGAACAGCCGTTGATGTCCATGGCTCGAGAATCTGCCCCAGCCTCCAGCAGCATCTTTATCAGGACGTGATCGCAGTTCCAGGCAGCTTTGTGAAGAGCTGTTTTGTGGTCTGCCTCCTGAATGTTGGGATCTGCAACAGAAATCAAATCTGAAACATTGCAGTGGAAGTAAAGGGGGTGGGGTTAAAGTCAAAGTCAAGGAAACCTATCTAGAACGTCTTACCAGCTTGATAGTCCAGCAGGAGGCGACAGACTAAATGATGGTCTTGGCTGTAGGTTTGCTCCTTAGTGTCAAAAGCCCAGAAGGCTGCAGTCATCAGAGGAGTCTCCTGCAGAGAGTTCACTGCATTCACAGATGCTCCATGAGCCAAATAGAGAGCCACCAGCTCTGGAACACCGAATCTGGCTGCCGTGTGTAGAGGTGTGTCCTCTTCGTTGTTGTGGCTTGCTTTGTTGACTTTTGCACCTCCATGAGAGGGAAAAAAAGATTTTGTTGTTGTTTTAGTGGTTTCTGCAGTGACTGTATTTGTGCTTCTACCCTTGCCTTCTCACCTTTGAGGATAAGTTGCTTGGCACACTCTACAGACTCCCGGGTAATGCAGTAGTGCAGCGGCGTGTGCCCGCTCAGAGACAGGCTGTTGACCTTTGCCCCGTGAGCCAAAAGCAAGGGCACACAGTCACCATTGGACACCTCGCAGGCCACGTGCAGAGGCGTCTTCCCATTGGGCATCTGATTGACAGCTGCGCCTTTCTGAAGGAGTACCAGCGCTGTCTCCACAGCATTGTACATTACACATACATGGATACCCATGGCCCAGGACTTTTCCAGTTTGTAGCCGGGTAGCCAGTATCCTAAA